GACTTTGCATCCAACCCAGCCTACTATGGTGCCACCTCTTCATCCAAGTTGCCCAAGCAAAACAACAGCTAAGCTAATGTTAGCAGGATTGGAAGCTTTCCGTCCATCATAAAACTCCGAAGTCGAGCAGCCTGGCGTAAAATAAATAAATATTTTCTTTAAAAAATATGATACAGATTGATTTCAAATTTGGATTATTCGGGAAGCTTTTATTTTAATAACCAATAGTTCAGAGCAATGCTTTTAAGCAAAGAAACATTTTGTATTTCTTAAAAAGGTAAATTTCAAAAGCAACAAATCCTGTTCTGTGTTCTTTTGGTTTCCCTGTATTAGTAAGAGTTAAGAAAAGTCTTAAGGATAACAATGCTTTCATCCTGAGAAATCAATATATTGTTCTTTTGAAAAAAAGAAATGCTGCATCTCAACAATGTATGTGATACACAACGCTTTAAAAAATAAATAATACTGCTTATATTAATGCAAGGTGCTGAGTTTATCTGTGTCTATATATTAAGGCTGATGTATGGCTATCTACCTGTATTAGTATTATCCTCTGAGGCAGAGAGTCGGAGCTCCTCAGCGCAGTAATTGGTTGGCCATGTCAGGAAGACACAGCTAGAAATTGACGACTAACAGAAAATTCCTCCCTCCTGTTGAGATCATTCGCTACTGTTGAATATTAAAGATGACACATTAAAGAATATTACCTTGAAGCACTTGACTAAAACCAATGTGAGTCCATTTTAATGGCACACTGCTCGCTCATCAGCGCCAATACTTGATAGGTATTATTATGAATTAGCTGCGCATGCATAACTGCAGGTGGGGGAGTGATAGAGGAAAAGGAATTTTCCTTAGCTGTATTTAGGTCTTTCTCCAGTATGATAAAGACTTTCATACATGTGAGAAACCAGGGGGTGTCAGAAACTGTTAAAAAATATTTTAAAAATGTCAAGTCATTAATTTTTACTCCACAATGTGTACTTGTTTTTAAAAATGTAGCTAAAGAATCATGTGGAGATTAATCCATACTTTTATCACAAGCAGGGCAGTGTTGGAGCCTCCTGAGGCAAATGCGAGATTTGTGATATAGAATTGACTTGACAGGTACAGAGGTGAGAGCGATGAAGGTGTCAGTGGTGGGGCAGGTTGAGAGCTTCTTGCTAAGTAGAACCCTACTATTAATTATCTATGAGGCCGGACTCACGGTGACAGGAAGTGCTCCTGAGAGTGAGGTCCGGGAGTCGCAGGAACACAGGGTGATTGACCGAGTCACTGAATAGGTCCGGGCGCTCACATCTGAGTGGGCTCCGACCCACCGCACTGCCAGAGCCCTGGAGAGGACCGGGCCAGGAAGAAGGTGGGGTGCCCTGTACATCCACAACCCTCCCAAGTGGGGTGGAATTTCTGTCAGCATCAATTATTCAAGAACCATCTTAGATAACACTCGCAGGCAGGATGGATGAGGTCTATTTCTGTATGGTACTTCATAAGGAAGAAGACAGGAGGCATTTTTTATTTTGTGCCGTTGCTTCAGACAGCGGATAACCAGTGCTCTCCTCTGTGCAGCAAACTTGAAGTGTCTTTGAAAAATGCTTTTCACACACTCCATATTCTTTCCTCTTTGCTGACATTCTAAGATGTCAGCGCTTTGTAGAATAGGGGCTCGCATATTTCCTTCGTCCTCGGGAAATGTGATGTACAGTACAGTAGGTGTTGCAGAGAGGGACCCCTTTACAAAAGGTGACAAAAGCCTCGGAAAAGTGGCCACCCCGCGCTGTCCTTTGACACTGTCCCCTCTCAATAATACTCATCTTTTTTTGTGAAGGGGCTCCCAGATGGTTCACATTCTTTTAGGAGTAACTACACTTTACCTCTGTTTTTGCAGTCATCAAGCGGTCAATGTATTTTCTGGCACCCTGGGAAGTACAACATGTCACAACGCGCATCAGTGTATCACCTCATGTGTGTGAAGCTTAATGACCTAGAATTCCCGACACTCTTTCTATTTATGTCTTTATATAAGAAAGGTGGGGATCAGGCGTTAGGTCGTGTTTGTGTTTGCACAGTATCTGTAAAAAAAAAAAGGTGGAATAAACAACGGTTACAGATTTAAAAAGGCATTTTCCGCTTGGTTAAAAAAAAAAAGCCTTAACTTGTATGTTCCAGGATACATTCTGTGGCACAATAACTGACATTCATAAAGCCTAATTTTAAACGGGAGCATTCAAGACGAGCTAAATACATTTTATTTTTCTATCCACTTGCATACTTGACTGTAAGTAAGCTGTGAGGAACAATTGAGCTGCATTTGTAGTTGCAGTTGCAATGCCTAAATGGGCGCCGCAATGCAACTTACACACAGAAAGAGAATGAATAGAAGGCAAGTGGTGTCATTTATCTTAAATAAACTCTTAAGATAGAAACCTTAGTGTCTATTTAAGAAAAATAAAACATGGTACACCAACATGATTTCTTCAAACTGTATCTCTGACTAAAAGTGTCAATTCACTTTTTATTAGGAACATCGTTACATTTTCCTACATGCGTATCTGCACTACTTGATACATGCTCCAATATTGAAAAAAACACTTCCAAGGCACCTTCCATGCAACATCTATGTAAGTGGAGTTTTTTTGGTTAAATGGAAAAGCAAAAGTTTCCCTGCGCTATAAAAGCAACATTATTTGTCATAGACGATATGAGTTGGACTATGTTCTCTAATAAGGCCTGTGAGTTGTGCAAATGTTTTAGTTTGTTATCTTGTGCTGTTTTTGGCCAGAACAAGTTTGGTTATTCTTTCTTCCTTGAGACTTTGACGGAGAAAATCTGCTTGTTTTTGAAGAATTCATAATGGTTATTATGTTAATGAACAATAAGTCTGCCATCTATTTATCAAGCAAATCTACATTCCTAATTGGCACCAGTGTTTACAATCCAATTATCATCCAATTAGAACTTCTCACAGATAGGTTGTGGGTATGCCTTTAATGAGGATCATTTTTCTTCATATTAAAAGCTGTCCTCCTGTGGTTTCATATCAGAATCATTGGTAAAACATTTTTTATTTTTGTTTAATACCAAATTGTGCAAAAATAGGATTTGAAATTGACAGCAATGGCAGCAATTGTTTGCTTTGTGTGCATAACTAGAGGCTCTGGTGTGTGCATTCATGCTTCATGTTGAGGCGTGATATGTGTCTGTTCACAGAGTGCCATGCCTACATGTCGAAGGATCTGAGACATTTGTGACAGAAATTCTTCCATACACACACGCGGTTATTTCTGTCACACACTCTTGGGTTGCGGTCCTGAGCATGCACTGTGTTCAGACACGGAGGGATGTATACTGCGGGTCATATGTGACCTGGGCTGCTCCCTGGTGGAACATGGTTCTACTACGCTGAACCTGTCAGTCACATGGCCAGTCAAGTCAGTTTCAGGAAAAAGGCAGGAAGAGAGTAAAGACACACACTGAGAGAGGAGGGGGGGCGTCAGTAAGACAAGTATTCCCTCCAGTCAATCACCATCCACAGAACCGCTCAAATGATGCAGGTTTTCTCGAGAGGCATGCAGGGTGGAGCTGGGTGAAGGAGGACCTAATGTCACACTCGCTTCCTGAAGTCGCTTCCTGTCAATTATCATAGGACACAGGGTGAGCTCAGAGCAGTGGGGTACCAGCAGAGCTGGGCGATATGGAGAAAATCAAATATCACAATTGTCTTAACCAATATATCAATATTGTGATGATATTGTAGGGATGGATGTTGGTGCTTTTACTTAAAGAGGCCCTATTCTGTTCCTTTTTCAGGTTCATATCAGTATGTAGTGTCTCTCCTGTGACATGTCTCCATGCTTTAATGTTCAAAAGGCTCTTCATTTTTCTCATACTGCCTGTGCTGCAGCACCTCTTTTCACCCTCTGTCCAGTCTGCTGTGATTGTTAGCTGGCCTGCTCTGCTGTGATTGGTCAATCGCTTAGATATGTCCCGCCCCCTTAATCTATATCGTACAATGTGTTGGAGCGCTATTCAATAGAAGCACAAGTGTTACATAGTGATGTCACTGTCACGGAAGTAAATAAATGAGGGAGTGTGTAGGAGAGAAACTCCCTCTGGAGGGAACTTTGGGATTCCAGCCTTTGCAGACCATTTGAATGGACAAAAACGTGGATAACACACTACAGGAAAGGGAAAAACCCTCCCAACCCAAAAAGCATCAGTAGGTATCAGTAATGTGGATATATTGACTGAACAGGTAAATAATAGAAAAGCTGAAAGTCGGATAAAATCAGCAATATTACATCACTTCACTGCCTATTAATTCAGGAGAAAAACAATACTTATGATATGACAACATTTACAATCTAAGATGATATCTAGTCTTACAGTATATCACAATATAGACAACATATTGATATTGCCCAGCCTTGGCTCAGAGATGTCCATATTGCTGGGGTAAATAAAACAAGCATCACTGGGACACTTTGGAAGGTGTTAATCCCTGACTAATGAACTCTGCAAGTCGCTTCCCTGTTGCATCCCTGAACTCCTCCACCTGTGTGTGTGTGTGTGTGTGTGTGTGTGTGTGTGTGTGTGTGTGTGTGTGTGTGTGTGTGTGTGTGTGTGTGTGTGTGTGTGTGTGTGTGTGTGTGTGTGTGTGTGTGTGTGTGTGTGTGTGTGTGTGTGTGTGTGTGTGTGTGTGTGTGTGTGTGTGTGTGGTCAGGGATTCAGAGAGAGGGACAGGCTCCACTCTCCCGTCCCTCAGCCTGTCAGGCAGAACTCAGCCACACAATTTCACGGTTTGTGGGCAGTACACACCACTGCGTTCCCATCCCTGAGACCCACAGCGTGTGTGTGTGTCCGTCTGTGCATATGAACATGAACACACACACACGCCTACTTCGCTATTAATACTAGTGGAAAGAAGAAATCAAATATTAATCCTTCAAAAACCCAGCTGGAATTGAAAAAATTAAATTAGAAAAAATGAGTGGACTTACCATTTTGTTATTGATTTCATGGAAATGAATTTCACAGACTTTCTCTACGATGTCTTCACCCTCGAAGGTTATGAAGCCAAATCCTAGGGAAACAGAGACGGGAGAGGAAGAGAATGGTTTAAAGGAGAGACTTAACACAACTTCAGGAGCTAAAAAGAAAGAATGCACCACAAGATGGGATCCAGAAACTATGCGAGTACATCTGCAGAGATTGGCTCGGGCTTGGAGAGAACAGGAACAAGTGAACAAGACAGACATTGTGCTCTTTAAATCAGGAATATGATGAAATCTGCCACATTATTAAGGGCACTCGGGGACCTCCTCTACAAAGAGAAGATGGAAAAACAGCACAAAGCTCATTTAATGAGATTCAGAGAGCTCGGGCCCAGCATCTGAATTTCATTAAAAGCATTTTGTGTTCTTTTTATTGAAATCTGACTGTATAACAAGCCCTCGTTTTTATGTTAATGCAGGCCTTAGAATGAATGCGTCGTTGACAGTGGGATTTTCATGCCATATTTATGGGATAAAAGCTTAACCCCTCTTTTAACACAAAGACAGAGAGACAAGATGGTTTCAGACTTTTGAACACAAGTGGATTGCAATGCTCCCCTCTTGTGTTTTGATGGTGATGCACAAAGCAATCTAGCTTCTGTATAGATGGGGTTGAAAGGAAAACTGATATTCCATTACTTTTGCAAAAGAGGAAACCGCACAAAAGAGGAACAGTTAGTGAATAAAACCGCAAGTGGGACTGAAAGGAGATGAGTTTCTTTTCAAAATGGCAAACACACCACGGTGAAATGAAATCACCTCAGATTGAGCTTAAAGCACCGTCACTGACTGCAGAGAAACGAGCCGTCTTACTAACACAAGCTCCACCATCACTTTACTGTCATGGAACACCACTCATACAGTGAATATAGTCAACTACTGAAGGCAAAAAGGTACTGATACACTAGAAGGAGACAGCAGTTCAAATATTATTTGTTCAATGAGCTCAACAACAATGAGGATTTCCTGTTCATACAATTTAATACAAATCCATGTGTCTTCCTCCACTATAGGACACATCTCAAGGTCAAAGACTGGAGGGAAAGCTACTCAGACACGAGTATCCTGCACATGAGCTCATGTTAGCATCGTGTGTACCAGGGAAAACAAACAAGAGATTTGTCAGCCGTCACAGTCACGATTGTTTCCATTTTCGATCAATCTGCAGATTATTTTCTCATTTCATCGATCAATTGTTTGCTCTATCAAATGCCAGGATATGGTGAAACATGCCCGTCACAGTTTCCAGGGTCCAAGGGGAAGGCTTCAAATGTCGTGTTTGTCCGACCAACAGATCAAACCCCGAGGACATTGAGTTTATGTAAAACAGAAGAAAAATATGTCACAAGCTGAACCAAAGCATGCTGGGTTTTTATTTATTTTACTCATTTGAGTAATTTTTCAAAAGTGTCTGCCATTTATTTTCTGTCAATCAGCTAAAATGTGTAATGACATTCATGTAGTTGGATGAATGATAGGGTTAGGCAATAAAACAATACCAACAATTTTCACGATTAAATCTGCCATAATGATCATGAGATTTATTTATTTATGTATTTATTTTATATGTATATATAATTATATTCTTTTGATTTTTTTAATTTATTCTTATTTACATTTTTCTTGTTTCTTTGTTGTGATTTACTTATAATCTATGTACAAATATGAGTTTATATTCAGAGCTAAGTGCATCTGTGCAAGTCATTTCTAGTTAATCTTTGTGGGCTGATTCCCATATAGAAGTCCCAAACATACATCACACTCTACCATATGGTCCATCCACATTACCGAGCCCTACTGCGTGCATGCTGATTGGTAAACACTCAGAACATTAAGTGTCTTCATAATCAAGCTCAAGCAGAAGCACTAAATTAAGTGTACTATGACACATAAGCAGCTTGTTCTATAAATTCATCAGATAAACCAGAAAAATAGAGATGTCTTTGCTGCTGCTAGTCAACCTTTCACAAACATGCATCCATAGTTTTGTCATAAAGTGTATCTCTTGCTGTTTTTTCTTCTTCTTTTCTGCTCCTCCTCCAGCTCCTCCTCCATAAATAACAAAATATTTTGACACAGCTAGAACATATCAAAGCAGCCTTGTCAAAAAAGGGTTGGAAGCCTAATGTGTGAGCCGATTAAACACGGACAACATCGAGTCTAATGAGATCTTATGAGACAGAATATCAATTTCCACTGAGACGCCTCAACACCGAGCTGAGGCGACACATGTGTGAGGCCAGGGGGGAGACAAGGGACCGGTGATGACGACAGGCAGAAGAGAGGAGGAAGGGAAAGGGGGGGCTGCACTCTCTTCTCCGTCTCACCCCACCTTCATGCCAGCGCGAGGAGCACTTTTGACAACCAACAAATCAACCGCCAGGAGTAATTTGTCACGGAGGAGTGTAGGTAGAAGGAGGGGAGTCTTGTGGGGGGGTGATGGTGGAAAAGGGAAAGAGAAAAAGGTGGAGATGGAAGGAGAGGGAGACGTGGGGAGAAAGACAGAAAAAGTGACAAGGAAAGAGGTTAACACACATGGCCCCTGTCGCCACACTCCTTCCTGCTACAGGCAGCTCCTCCATCAACTGACAGGACATTTTCCCTGCACCATTATATCCAACAGGTCAGGGCCACAGCACCACTGCTCCCCCAGCAGGGCCTACACCTGTCACTGGGTCTGTTTAAATGGGCAGGTTTGCCGTAGTGTAGGCTACTATTGGAGTTTTTACTGTACACATACACAACAAAACGACAACAAACGAATAATTCTCCCTCATTGGCTCAGCACCGCCTTCTTGGTTGACCTTGTTGTCCTGCCATTACACCGCACTCTTATTGCTCTTATTTTAGAGACCTCACTGAAAACCTGAAACTTTGACTTGAATTAACTGTATCATGTCAACAGATATCACATCATTGTAATAGGTTAATTGATAGCAATAACATTAAGTTGAACTTAATATTTTTGTATTTAAGCTTTCAAATACCCTAATACAGTTATGTGAAATCTGTTGACTTAACGCATTTCACTTAAGTCAACGTTTCACTTTTTTAGACAATTACAGTCCATAAAGTAGCCAAGAGAAGCCCTCCTCTCTCCCATCCTCCTTTTGCAGTGGTGGAAGAAGAACTCCCATACTTTAGTAAAAGTAAACATACGGCAGTGTAAAAATACTCTGTTACAAGTAACAGTCCTGCATATAAGCAGCAAAATATACTTAAATACCAAATCTAAGTACTCATTATTCAAAGTAGCCATGTCTTTCAAGTAATATATATGATATCACTGGAATATAATTAGTTATGCATTCATGTGTCTATCATTTTAATTTTGCAGCTGTTCAAGGATGAGAAAAACATTGATAACTGTTTATACTGCCAGATATCTCCATCCATCATAGTACAAGTGTATTCGTGGATTTCATTAGGCGCTTTCACGCTAATTAATCAGAACTCTTTAGTTCTGATGAACTAAAGAGCAGATCGCGTTCACACCAGAATAAGTCCCTGAGGGAGGATTAGTCAAATGAAGCCGCTGACGTCACTTCTTCTTCTTCTGCTTTGGGTTTACTGGCAGGCCGCAAACAACTTCACGGCGTATACTGCCACCCGAAGTCCCCGGCCGGAAGTCCCCGGAGTTGGGGACTTCCGAGTAAATCGCCAGAACGCCGACACCTCCTCATCTCCACCGCTCCCATGTTTTCTTTTGTGTTGCCATAAGTTAGTCTCTCTGCGTTTGTGCGCTGGGCTAATGCTAATGCTAATAATGCTAATGCGAGGATAATAAAATGTCGGCTTCACAAAACTTTTTGGGAGTTTTACGGGGCGTGGTTTGCAATCCGCCCAGCCAATCAGAAATGGGAACCTTTTTCTCCCATGAAAGTACCTGCTCTCTAGCAGGGACTGAAAAGGGGGTGAAAAGGTTCTCATGAACTACTGTAAGTTCTAGTTCCGGATTTTTTCGGAACTATACTGAAAGTAGCATAAAATGAAAATACTCAAGTAAATGACATGTACCTTGAGAATATTTACTCTCCACCACTGCCTTCATGTATACCTTCTCTTCAAACTACTCTCACATGGCAGGGAGGCTGACCTCAACGAGGCTATTAAAGACTATCAGACTCACGGAGAGAGGTGTCAACACGCCTGCATTCACAAAGCTTCCCACACACAGCTTAAACAATACCGTGTAAATGGAAACACATGGATTTTTGATACGTGGGAAGGGGGATAATAGGTGTTGTGTGGCTTCTGGCTGGGGTCCTCTTGGCTGCACTTGCTCACACTTATTAGCCAGAGCCGGGCTTGGCCTCATCTCATCGCTGCACACAATCGGCAGGGAGCCTACTTTCACGGCCCTTTACCACCTTCATCATACTCGCTCTTTATTTCACACTCATTCCAGGTTTCTCTGCCGCTGTTGCTTAAATGCATTTCAACACCCCCCCCCCATAACTCCCCCATACAAGCCCAGCCCCTCCCACAGTAGAAAAAGGCTGATCCTGCCAGACAAAGATAATGCAAGGACTTGGAAATTGATGCAGCAAAGTTGACTTTGACTTAAAAAGTGGCATTGCAGCTTTAAATAAGTTTGAAACTTTACAGGCTTTTTTTATGTTTTAACCTTTAATATAATCCGGCCACTTAGGAAGGGTGGAGGACTCCGGTGGTGGGTTTCTCTGATGTCCATACCATTTGCAGAGATTCAAAAAGTGTTTTTGTTTTGTATTGTTTTTCTTGAATATCATAAATGGACAAGATTACACCTGCGTTTTAGTGTGCAACACTGTGGTGCAGAATGACAAATGATCCTTGAAAATAAGACAGTATACATAAATAAAAACACACCATTGTTTGGTTACATTGTCATAACTACTGTTTTCTTTAGTGTTTATTCGTCTGAAATAAATGAGGTAGAATAAGTCGTTTTCGGAGGAGTATTATTATCAGTAGTGTTGTACAGATCTTGTGAGAGCATGAACACAAGGTATGTGAGAGGAATCATTTTCCAGCTGCTGCAGGTATC